TTAAGGGCGGGTAATGCCATCCCCGACTCAGCTTTAGGTATAAAAATAGATCCCTGTCCCCGCCCTGTTACCCGTCAAAACGGGGTATCCCCGCCTGGTTAACGGGTAAAATATCCATCTCTATTCATAAGAATAATGTTTGACCTGACTCGTTCGAAAACTCGTTTAAATTTCTCTAGCCGAGGCATTCTTGCATATACTTTTTCGAGCCAAACATGATCAGATGTTATTAAATCATACGATAAATATAAAAATTATCAACTTCGAGCAAGTAAACAAGTTAGTCGATCGTGAGGTCGAACCCATAAACAAATCGAGTTCGATAACTCAAAATTTATTCGAGCTCGAGCCTAATATTTTTTCGAGTTGAGCTTGAAATAATTTACTATTCAACTCGTTTTACAGCCATAACCCCCCCCCCCCCCCCAAAAATATAATATAACACTTGATGTTATCAAACTTGACTTATATATTTGGAGGTCAAAATGTTGGTCTTTGTATCTCTAATATTAGTATTTTAAATATATATATATATATATATATATATATATACACTATATTATAAAACATTCGATAAAAACTATTTTTTATGCATAAAATATTGTATATTGATGCATATTACTTAAAGTTCAATATTACAACTAAATTATGCATAAGTACAATTTATTAAAAATTCATGTTTGAATTCGTGTAATTAACTGCGGATAAACATAATCAAATAGAGGATAAACATCTCATTTTAGATATAAAAAATCCAAAACATAATTAAGATAATCATTGAGTTCTAACTGAATACTTAATTATTATCTTAAATAAATTATTTTACTAAACCAAAAATACATTAGTTCATTTTTAAATTTCAGTTAAATTATAATAAAAAAATGAATTAAAGAAAATTACACAAAAACAATAACTTCTAAATAGTTAATTTGATATTAATATTGCTTATTTTTTTCAAAATTTTATAATATCTTTAAATTTATATTTCATTCAAAATATCTTTAAATTTATATTTCATTCAAAATTTTATAATATCTTTAAATTTATACTTAATTGTATATGATCCTATAATTGACCATTAAGCTACTTTTAGCAAACTAATCGATGACTGATAAGTTAATTGATAGCTGATTAAAACTAGCTTATAAGCATGAAAAATGACTAAAAAATACATATTGAAAAAAATTTATAAAAAATTCATGATATAATTTAAATAAATTTCTAATAGTATAACATGTAATTGATACAAACAATATAGTAAAGAAAAAAAATATATAACATGTCAAAACAAATTTTAGAAAAAATCTACTGTAATCTATGATTTTAAATAATCATTTTTATTATTATCAGAAGCCAAATAAGCATTTCATTCTACAGTAATGATTATTTAAAATCATAGACTACTGGTTAATTCTTTTTTTTCTTTCTATTTTTATTATTATAAAAAGCCGAATCGTTGGGTCAAAATCACCTCAAATTTGGACTTTTCTAGGGCTATTTGGTCTATATCAGATGTAATATATGATTTTTACTCTATTAAATAAGATACATGTGGGATCCCTCCGTATCTTGTAAATAAATTCACCTTAAATTGTGGTAATTAATTAAAGTAAAAGTAAGTTTCGTTTGTTTATAATAAAGTGAAAGTAGTGTTTTAAAAAAGTAGGATGGTGGATGAGGAGGTGGTGAAAGTAATAAATGGGAGTCATGAATCAATGCCATGGTCAACATCTTCTATTTAATTTTTTTTGGATGATTTTAAGGGTGTTGTTGTCTTATATATATATATATATATATATATATATATATATATACACACACACATATAATAGGGGTGTTCAAAAACCCGATTAATCCAACTCAATCTAACGCGAAATAATTTAATCAGAAGCAACCCGACATCTAATCGGGTTGTAACAAATTTAAACCGTAAGTATTGGGTTACTATTATTTGAACTCAATCCAACCCGATGAACCTGATATTCTTTTATTTATTGGATTTAATATAATTGTTGAATTTATATTAATATATACATTAGACAATTACATTATTACGTACGCTCTTCATATACACATGTTTTCAATCTATTCACATATTTAAATAACTTATTCGTATATATGTTTAGTAACTGAAAACGTATATGTATAGATTGAGAAATTAATTGAATGTGATATATGTAAGAAGTATGGATATGTTGTATCAAATGGTTGTTGACGAAAAAGAAATTATGAGTAGATAAATAACACAAGTTATAAGAACATCTTAATGTATCAAAGTGTCAACCCGACCAACCCGTACGATTTGGGTTAGGTTGGGTTAAGATTTTTAAAACCGCAAACATTGGGTTGGGTTAAGATTTTTAAAACCGCAAACATTGGATTTAAGAGTGTTTTCGCGTTTTCGTAACGGATGTATTCTCGTTTGAACATCCACCTATACATATATAGGACTTTCTTTTGAGAACTCATAAAATTGTGATAACCTCGAGAACTAGTACATCGTGTGATATTCATATGATTTTTCTTCATCTAATATTATGATTTAAAATACCGATTAACATATATTTGTTTAACATGTATTTGTTTCATAATCTAAACATTTTTAACCTCTTTATCTGATAATTTGAACCTTTTTAACATGTGATAATTTGAAATTCTTTTAAGTAAACATATTATATTTTTTTTATATATAACTATTTTATTTGTATTAATTAACATATWATATTATTAGATATTTGTTTTAATATACTGTAAAATATTATAATTAACTAATTTTAATGTTATTTACATTTTTCATCTAGTTTATCATCCAATTATCTTTTTTCATACATCCGACACTAAAATACAAATAATTAACTAATTTTAATGTTATTTACATTTTTCATCTAGTTTATCATCCAGTTATCTTTTTTCATACATCTGACACTAAAATACAAATAATCCCTAAAAAGAGAGCATATTATTATAAGAGATAGTCCTGAAGTCTGAAATATGGATCATTAAGATTGTTTGTTTTTATGTCTGATGCCTGATATCTGAATCGGTTAAACTAGTGCAAAAATATAAAAGATATGTAGTTTTTTACAAAAGTTAAAAGATGAATAGTAACAAATCTATTTCAGCTCTCAAAATATGAACCATGTGATAGATGGTTTATTAGGATTAAGAGGTATCAACAGATACATTTACCATTATTAATTTCAGTGACATTTAGAGCTTTTAAGCTCTTATAAACAAACACTATTAATATTCAAATGTCTGAATAAATCATATTTCAGAGGTAATTTTGAAAAAAAACAACAAACATGCACTATGTTCCCAATTTTTTTTGCTTTATTCTCGTTCTTCATTTATATGTTGTTACTGTCTAGCGTAAATTTAATTGCAACAAAAGAATCAGATTAAGTTATACGTATAAAACTAAGCAATAAACCTGTATTTTTTAAGATAATTTTGGGAAAAGTTGCTCAAACCACTAGATTAGAGAACGGTCAATAACGATCGAGCAGCCTAAGCCACATGGTGAAAAATTAAACGTGTTTTTTAAAGTAGTCTAGTTGATATACGATTATATATGCTAACATGATAAATGTGTAAAAGATGAAAAAGTAAGGAATATAAAATAACTTAATTAAGGGGTCATTTACCAAATGCTTACATGGGTAACCGCTTACCAAGTCACATTACCTTACCGGATGAATATGATAAAACCCAATAATTATACCCAGTAAGAGCGAAGACAAGTACCGAGAGTTTTACCCAATAAGTGATGACAACGACTCTTACCACGTCTAGCGCTTACCGGATATAATGTCGTTTTGGTGGACTCAAACCTTACCCGGTATGTAAATGATAATGTTGATTTTTACCAGTAAGCACTTACCAGGTAAGTGTTTAGGTAAACGGCCCCTAAAATGTAATTTAAAAACTAAAAATGATGAGATTTCACCGTTGAATTTTGTTTGTGAGGGAAAATAGGTAGCAGAAGGGGGTATGTTAGCAACTCCCATTGTCAAATATGATCTATTCATCAGCTACTTTATCAGCTAAAACAACTAGTTTATCAGATAATTTAACAAACATGGCCTAAAACTACAAATCTATAATAAAAAATACAAATGAATAAAAGAGACAAAATAAGAAGATATTGAGTAAACTACGTTTTTGGTCCCTACAGTTTATTGAAAGTTGCTATTTTTGTTATTGTACTTTTGAAACTACGATTTTCATCCCTATAGTTTACAATATACTATTGTCTTCATCGTTATGATTACAATTTATTGTTATTTTCATCTATCATATTTAAAGATCAACATTAAGAATGAAAACAACAATGAATTGAAAATCATAGATATGAAAATCGTAATGTCAAAACTACAAGGATGAAAATCATAATTTAACAAACCACAAGGATGAAAAATGTAATTCACTCAAAGATATATCATGTTGCACTATACAATTTAATTGAGACGGAGTCATTGGCAAACCGTTATATTAGTACAAACTTTGCAAACCAATCCAAATTGTCCATATAGTCTAATTAATATATAATTCAATGAATATATCAGTTGTTTCTAATATAAAACGTTGATCATAATAAATGAACTCTTGTATTTTTTTGATAAATATCCAAATCATAATAAATAAACTGTAAGTCTGTAATTAGTACAAACTATAAAATACAAAAATATTTTTATGAGGTTTGGTTTATGGTTTGAGGGGCTAAAACCACCCAAACCGGACAACGAACACTCTAACAAAAATAACAATAAATTACAAATCATAGGGATAAAAACTGTAATTTTTAAACAACAGAGACAAAGTTGCAATTTTTAGAAGAACACAGGGACTAAAAATGTAATTTACTCAAAAAAGTGATCCATCCAAAAATATCTGCAAAGAAATGATTTTAAACAAGACGGGAGATAACATCCTCACATGATCCAAATATAGACCAGCATGCAGCCTATCATCACCCACCATACACACAGAATGTTGCTATAAATACCACTTTCCTCCCTCGCGCTCATAACTCATTCCACCATCAAACCACCCATCGCCATGGCTAAGTTCTTCGCTATCCTGCTTTTGGCTCTGCTCGCCATCTCCATGCTTCAATCCACTGTAAGTTTATGGCAATCAATCGTTCATTACCATGATCTTTGAATCTCTCATTATACTATACACACTTTCAATTCGTTTTCAAATGTTCGATTTAGCTTCTTCGAACGTAATCGATGTTTTGTACAGTTAATTGGTGTTTGGTAGTTAATGTGATCTGAGTTTTGGTACTGTTCGTCTTCTCCATGGTTCAACCTACTGTAAGTTTATCTAATCGATTTTTGATTAGCGATTTAGTGTGATTGATTATACTATTCACACTGCGAATCTGTATATATGTTGTGAAATTTTCGATTTAGGTTCTTCGAATGTGTTTATATAATGCAATGTGTTGTCATATATTCGATTTAGCTTCTTCGGTTGTAATATGATATTTACACAGTTAATCGGTATTTAAGCGGTAGTTAGTCTCTGAACTAGTTTGGGCATTGTTCATCATCTCGATGCTTTAGCTCACTCTAAATTTATGCATTCAGTTGTTAATTAGCGATTTAGCGTGATTGATTATACTATTCACTCTGCAAATCTGCAATGTATTGTGAAATATGTTCTTCGAATAAAGTTTATAAGGTTAACTAGTATTTGGTAGCTAGTGTGATCTAAATTTTGGTGCTGTTCGTCATCTCCATGCCTATACTCATTGTAAGTTTATCGAATCTACTGTTGATTAGCGATTTAGATACTGCAAACAATGTGGAATGTTCGATTTATATTATTCGAACATGATGTAAGTTTATATAATTAATTGGTTGTTTGTGTGATCTAAGTTCACGAACTGCATTGTGTTGTGAATAGATTGATTTAGGGTCTTCGAATCTGATCTGGTTCGTTATCGTTTTTTTAGGTATCTAAGAAAGGAGGGCATCATCACCATGGATCCGGCCCTGGAAGTTTGAAAAGCTCTCGTAAGTTCCAACTGTTTTTGCTTTCACATTTTTTAAACTTGGATTCTCCATCATATCAGAGTCGTTCATCTTATCGTCGATGCAACTGAACCATGAACTATTAACCATTAAACTTAGTTATTTGCAAAAAGTATATAAATAAATTCAGTTATGGTGGTTCCAAAATCAATGAATACATTGATTAGAAAATGTTAAATCCGTTTGATTCTTCCTTCTACCTAGGCTCTGTTAACAAGAATGCTTCACAAAACTCAACCATTTTTCTATTAATTTTTCTTTAGATTTGTCATTTAGAGGGTGTTTGAGTATGTTTGTGTGGTCTCGAGGACCTTAAATTATAATCGAATACATCATTTGTTAAACACTTAGAACATATCTAATATATTATTTAAAATAAAGATTTTAGAGGATTTTTTTTTGAAGTATAAGTCTATAAGAGATGAAAGATGAAGTTCTCGGAATTTAGATAACTCTTAAAAAATATTCCCAAAGATTATTATTTATTCTTCTTGATGAATGAGAATCCTTAAAATTAAATATATATGAGAGATGAATAATATTTTATGAAATGTATTTAATATTTTAATAATATATCAGGCAAATTACATGAATAAGTAACGTAATTTAACTTGATTTCTATTTTGGGTAATRTAYTTTYAAAAYTTTTATTTTGGTACCTAAGATGTAAAATTGTAAATATTTAAGAACCCGGATAACCGGTTGACGCATTAACCGGTTATCTTGCTTACGTGGCGAGTGATGTGATATTCAACTCAATATTATTTATTGACGTGGTTAGTAACATTAATTTTTTTAATCTAAAATTAGTTTTCAACCGGTTATCCGTTAAATATTTACAACTTTATATCTTGGGTACCAAAATGAAAATTATAAAAGTACGTTATCCAAAATATAAATCAAGTTAAAGTACGTAACTTTTTCATGCAATTTGTTCTAATATATTTTATATTGTAATCTCCAAAATAGAGAAATTAATGAAGATGAATATAAATTTTCTTTAAAGGTTTTTACTTTTAATTTTTTTATTTAAAAAATGTCTTGGAGATGCTATTATACATTTATTTATTAATATCATCCTCACATACATTATAATCATAACACATTTGTTAATGATTTTAAATGATTATCTATGAAAGAATTAATTTTTATTCTTTTCTACCTTTAAGAATCATTAAAGTTAAATGTATATGAGAGATATTGTTTTATGAAATGTATTTAATATTTTAATAACATATTTCATATTGTAATCTTCAAAAGTAGGGGAGGATGAATATAAATTTTCTTTTAAAGATTTTAAATTTTAAATTTTTTATTTTCAATAATCTATTACAGCTGCTCTTATATATCTATTTATTAATAGCATCCTCACATACATTATTATCAAAACTCATTTGTTAATGATTTTAAATGATTTTGACCTAAACAAGTATACATGTAGCAAGATCCTTTTATATACATTTTAGATTTGATTATAACATCAAAAAATTTAGTATTTGCGAGGACATTAAAACTATATTTTTTTAGAAAAAAAACTTTTTTAAAAAGTAATCTAACATATTTAAAAAAGAAAAAAAAAATATAAGACATGATTTATTGATTGAGACAATAATATAAAAAGTGTGTATAATGTAAAAAAAGATGATCATGCATCCTCTTTTATGTCAAAATCATATCAAATTATAAAATATAAATCTTGGTATTGCTTTGTCCGACTAGAAAATTAGTAGATATAAATGCATTTAACAATATAGATGAAGATTGTGTGAGGATAAAAGTTAAAGTGAGAAACGTAACAAATGATTTATACCTTGATAACTTTTAATCTAAATGTTGTTTGGTTACCTTTAATAGTTACATTAAGAGACAACCCTGAATTGTTAAGAGAGGAATCTTGTTTGACAAAAAAAAAAAATCTGACTCCTAATGATTCTCAAACTCTCTGAATGATTTTATATCGTTGGCCTTCCTTAACCATTCAGCACACTAATTTCATTGTAAATAATTACCAAACAATTATATTTTATTTTGCATTATATCATGGGAGTCTCTTAATCATTATGATCCCTTAATTATTTAGCATTAAACCATTCAGCAACTGTCAAATTGTCTCTCACTCCCATGTTAAGAATTGTGTGTCTTACAGAATTAATATGATGTATTTTATTAAAATTGATTTTCAACTAAGATTAATTTAAAGATGAATATCTCTTCTTTATCATAAATTTTATTAAATCGAAATACAACCCACAATATGTAAAAAAACATGTATTGATGTTGATGTGTGTGAAGAAGAAATTCATAGATAAAGATGCATTAAACAATGTATAGGAATACATTTAGCCCACCCATTACGGGGGATGCCATTAGCACTCCCCTATATAATATATGTGAATGTATTTAATAATAAGTAGCCGTCCATTTAGCAAACCAAGCTATAAATGTTATGGTCAAAGTAGAGTTTGAAATAAGTGACTTTTTCAGCTTTATTACTGTTGACTGATTGGTTAGGTTGATTTTAACGAAAAGCTATCATAGTGTTTTTGTTTGACCTTATTCCTATATATTGTTTTTACCAGAATGCCCCGGACAATGCATAAGGAGATGCAGCAAGACACAGTACCACAAACCATGCATGTTTTTCTGTCAGAAATGCTGTGCAAAATGCCTTTGCGTACCCCCGGGGTATTATGGTAATAAACAAGTCTGCCCTTGCTACAATAACTGGAAAACTAAGGAAGGAGGTCCAAAATGCCCCTAGATTTCATTTCAATTCTTTTCACTTTGAAATCAGTTTTATCAGACTATATGGTTAGCAGCAGGGGTGTTATGGTCTTTTGGCTGAGTAAGGGGTGTAATGGTGACTATTTAATGTATTGGGGTCCATTTGAATTAAAAGCTGAAATGGATGAATGAGTATGTAAACTAGTAGTTTGATAGGGTGGGGACTCCAACATGTGATTGAAGCCCAACTTGCCCCTCTTACACATTTTAATTCTAATGAAATATCTCTATCTACCTCTCCTTTTTCTTAAAGCAATTCTTATGCATTGTTTAAAATTGTTTTAGTTGTTTTTTTTTTTAATTAAGTTTTGTATGAATAAAGTTATTTATATTAGATTGTAAATATTTTTGTTTTAAATGTTTTTTTCATAAATAGGAGCGTGTTTTATAATTAGGATGAACAAACTTATATAAAATTTGTCTTTCTGCATAAACTGTTTTCTAAAAACTTATTGAATAAGTCATTTTCTATATCATTTGTCATTAAATTCATTAAGCTGTTAACAGACAAACGCTTTTGGTGTTTGGTTTAAGTTGGGAATGAAAAACTAAATTTTGGTCGTAGGAGAATGAATTCATTATAATATATTAAACTTATCAATTTCTTTTATTTTCATTATTTATTTATTGTTTAGTACTTATCAAACATCACTTACGACTTGTGCTTATTTTTTTCTTCTTACGATGTGTGTTTAAGCGAGAACACTATTATTTTATAAAAATAAGCAAATATCTATATCGCATGCGTTACTGTAGTCGTTCATACGTAATACTAAATGAGAAATGTGCGATGATTCCACCTGGATTATGGCGTTCTGGTCAAGCCTTATGAGGATGTAGTGGGAAATCGCATCTACTTTGGGTTTTGAATATAGGTGTTGTTGAAAACTCAAGGTTAGCATGGAGGTTCATATGCGATGTATCCAAGTTATTTGTGGTTGCTCGGGGGTATCAGTCGTGTGCGTAAGTTGGTCTAAAAACTCATGGTTACCCAAAACAACATAAATGTGGACCATTTTTTATGCAACATAACACCACCATGTCGTGTCATGTCCACCATCACATGTGATATAACCATTTTCATAAAAGGATGGTGTTCTATTTTGAACTTATTACTGTTTTATTTAATTAGAGTACTCGCATTAACTTTACGACACTTTCTCTCTCTTTTACAAGGACATTAAAGTTAAAGGAAAAACGGTGAAATTTTCTTTGAATAAAAGTAGTAATGTCACCATTTTCTCAATATTCTTTTTCTTTTCCTTTTCACAATTTAAAACTTGATTTGAGCATTTTTTTTTTTCTACGAAGTTTGATTGCAAGTAAAAATATCAAAAATAATATAACTGTCGGTGGAAAAGGGAAGATCAACGAGCGATGTCGAATGCAAACTTGAAATAAAGTGAAAGCATCTCCAACATAATTTCTCCAATAAAAGTTGAAATCTCTAAAAAAACTGCATCGAACTCCAACAAATTCTCCATTTTTGAGAATCCAACATTAATTATAATATTAAAATATTTCATTTGTTTATTAAAATATTATTTCTCTTTGTAAATAATTATTTTTAAAAAAAAATTATTGATAGAAAAAGAAGTTTATTAAAAAAAAAACATCTCTTATATTGTAATCATTTATGGTAATCTTGATATTTGGAGGAAAAAAACTTATATTTTCTACTTTCTCCATTTTAGAGATACTTTTAGAATTGGAGTTCAATTTTAGTTCAAAATCTTCATTTTTTTAATTTTAAAACTGACAAATGAGTTAACAAATTTAATGTTTGTTATGTTGTTTATAACTCAACTAAAATGAACATTCTAACAATCGTCTTCATGATATCTAATTCGTTTAAGATATATATACTTCGTTTACTAAACGTTTGCTCGTTTATAAGGGTCGTTTTCTTCCTGGATGAACATGGCTAGAGCCGAGAATTTTACACAATTAAGAACAATGGTAATGATGGAGAGTATTACCCGATAAGTGAAAGTGACGACTCTTATCCAATAAACGTTTACCGGATAAATTGTGGCATATGATACCGTTTTGATGTAATACAATCTTAACCAATAGAGTAAGTTAGAGTGCCAACTTTTATAGATAAGCTCTTAACAGGTAAGCTTTTAGATAAATGACTCCTTAACGAGAAGAGACATATTTAAATCTCTAATAAACGTACCAGATCTAATACTAAATCCATTTTTCACAATAAATCCTCTCTACTAAGTGCACTCTGTTTTTTTTTTTTTTTTTTTGCATTAATTTAACGTTATGAATATTAAGACATTGATTTGATGTAATACTATTCACCAACATTATTTTTTCCAAAGTTTTGACATTACATGATGCCATGATGGTATTTCAATTTTTATGGTTTACACGTTTTTATTTTATTTTATTGTCTAAGTAACATTTTAGTTAATGATGGTGTTTTGTCCCGACACGATGGAGAACCCGACTCACCTGACCCGAACAGGGATGAGGATTTCCCGTTAAAACGAGTCCCGGAGCTGGTGCAAGGAATCCCTGATAGACTCAAACCAGGGCTGGGTAGCATATCCCCCGACCCGCCCCTACCCAGTATATTTTTATTAATATATTTTATGTAATATATATGTGTGTATCTGTACTACTTTATAAAACAAATTTGAGAAAAGTCTTAAAACAACTTTATATACATAAAAGTACTACCTTTTAATGCACAAAGTCTTAAAGTCTTAAAAACAAGATTAGAAGCTTGATGTACAACTCAATACTTCAATTGCCGGTGATTTCCGCTTTAAAAATTGATTCCAACTATTGAGATAACTATTCATGCTCCAAGAAGACTATTCATTCTCCAAGACAACCTTTCCGTATCGAAGCCTTCAACATGTTACATTATCGATTCAATGTAACAATTCTCTTCTCTCTATACCATTCTTCCGATTGTTCCTTCATTATTCTTCAAAATACTTGCCAACAATTTCTTCTACTTCAACTTCAATTTCAAGCATCTCCACCTCCATCGAGGTAATTTTTATCAGTTTGTTTGTTTGTGGTATATTTTTGTTGAATTTTTGTCATCATGCATCTGTTTTTTTAGATTTGCTTTACATCTACTTAAATTCTAACTTCTTGCTATGTATCTTCATTTGCTATCCAGATAAGCAAAAATGGCATGAAAGTTGTTCGAGGAAATGCTTCAAAGGGGTTTGAATTTGATCAAATTTCAGCCAAATTGGTTATTTAGCTATGGAAAGTAAAAAGTATCAAAGATAAACGTCTCTCATACTATGATTTCTGGAGCAAAGGAATTAAAGAAAACCTAATTGCTTACTTTTGATTGCACATGGACATACTATAATTTATACTTTGTAGCAACCTTGGTGGACCATCCTTGAGAGACACTACTCATTTGACTCTTCAAATAATAGTCTCTAAAATATAATCCAAAAAGGACAATATTGACATTTAATTGACGCTCTTTGCAAATAATTGTGATTCAGTCTTCGGGCAGAGAACCAATGTTTCTGCATATAATGTTATCATACTATGTTTTTAATTCAATGTTGTTGGTTTGGATGGATTTTGCCTGGATATTGTCTTTCTTTTGTGTTTGATATACCGTCCAGTGTTGGATCGAAGAGAAGGGTATTTTCTTTGTCTATATTGATCTCTTAGTAAAAATTACAAATGTTTGTATATATGTATAATGCTTTCAATGTAGAATATGTTACAGTCCAGTGATCAACTCTTTGGTGCATCGCTTCATATTGATTTTGAAAATATAAGAATGGAAATGTACCATGACCAATATGTATCAGCAGACCATATAATGTTAGTTGACAATCCCATTTACTTAATATTTCCCATTCAATTGATCCGATTTTGAACTCTAATCATTTAGATTGCGTAATGTTGTAACTTGTAAAAACCATATGTTTCATATCAGGCTTCTGAAATCGTTCTTTTGACATGTTGCAGGATGACTTCAACGAGCTACATGATGAAAATCTTGCTTCAATCATGAGAAAAGAGAAAGCACACGGGTTTGAATTTCGGGAAAAGAATTAGGTAATTTGGCAGTCTGTTAATTGATATCACAATAACAGTTTTCATCGTATTTCTTTGTTTTTCTTTCTAACAGTAACGACTAATTTCATATGTATATATCCTCAGCACTCTGCTATGCCTCTGAAAATAAAGCGGCTTGCTCCGGAGCCAGAGAGATTTATGTGGGCACTTAATATGGCACAGTCTAGACAGATTTGCTTTAAAATGAGAGTAGGTTCATTAGTTCAGCTTGCAAATATGCTTGCTCTGTATGCAGGTAATATTTTCCACTTATATTTCTTTGGTATCTTATCATGGCTTAAAGAAGATTGATCATATAGGTTTTTTTTTTCACTTTTGCTCTTCTACGTTTTCAATTCTCTTCATCTTTAGTGTATCAATTACAACAATTAGTGCCTGAACTAAATAAGGTTCTCATTTGCCCCTCTATTAAATAGCATGTGTCTTTAGGTGGTGTAATACGAGAGTTGAAGGTAACTTTATTTTGTTTGCTTCTTGAAAATGGCCATGTGCAATATTTTTTATGTTTTAATGGCGGCTCAAAGTTGATCGATTTGGCAAATGAGGAAATTTGTGCAAACTCGTGAACTTAAGATTAACAGTTGTGAGGGATGCACTTTTATGATCCATTCTTGAAGGAGCTTAACATGTAATTTTCTTCCATTTCTTTGATATTTCTTTTTTCTCATTCAATACTCATGTCTTTCGTTGAGTTTTGAGTGTTTGTGTTCTTATTGCTACTCTTGGAGTATGAAGGCTTAGGGGTTGTTTACCTAAATGCTTACCCGGTAAGTGCTTACCGTTAGTAGCCAGCACTATACTTTATTTTTTGGGTAAGATTGTAGTATATCAAAATGGCATCGTATGCAACAATATTTCTGGTAAACCCTTACCCAGGTAAGGGTTATCAGCCTCACTTACCGGGTAAGACTCTTTATCCTTATCATCACTCTTAACAGGTAAGATTCTTGGGCCTTGCCATGCTCGCATGGTGAGGAAAATTGCCTGGTAAGCACCTCCCGGGTAAGCGTTTAGTAAACATCCCCTCAATACTTCTGCCTCTAATTACGAGTTATATGATGAGTAATCTTGTCCACCTTGATTTTGTCGCTTCTATCCAAACAAATGTAGCTTAACTTCCACTAAAAAACAGTAAAATGCTAATCAACTTCTTCCCCAATGAATGATT